GGGAGGGGAAGAGAAGAATTTCAATTACGGCGTTACTCCCCTATCATTCCCCAAACACACACTGTCCAGCAGCATTCTGGGGCACTTGGAACTCCTTAGACAATTGAGACCGAAAGTATTTTAAAAATCCAATTTACTTAGTCCCTTTTGTTTGCTTTGTGTGTGTCCCTCCTCTCAGACAATGAAAGAACATTCTTTTCCCTTCTCCTCCCATTTTTTTTTTAGAACTGACACAAGGCGGCCATACTTGGGAGGGGAAATCTATACTGATTTCATTTTTCAGCAATTACCTCTCTGTGGCTGAAAGATACAGAAATGATGATTTTTTCTTTCTGTGACCTGAGAGAACAGTGGCCCCTGGGGTCTGGAATCCTTGGAAAGTAGCTCCCCCGCTGCTGAAGCTCCGCTGGACACTGCCAGGGGAAGGCTGGTCCGCTGTGACCCACCCTCACTGTTGGCCCTCTTCAGCATTTATGGTTGAAATGATGTACTTAGCATTTAACTACATATTCCCAAGTCAGATGTATGGATGATTTAATGTGTATCAGTCCTTCTTCCCTGACCGGTTTTCAGCTCCATGAGGGCAGGAAGGATGCTAAGAACAGCCAACATGTATGGAGCCCTTGCTATGAGCGATGCAAATGCCTCACATGGCCTGCTCACTAACCCCTCACAATGACCCTATAAACAAGGCACTGCATTGTACAGATGAGGAAATGGAGGCTCAGAAAAGTGAAGTAACGTGTTCAAGGTCACTCAGCCTATAAATGGCAGTGACAGGATAAGAAATCCGTTTTCTCAGAAACTATTTCAGATTATTGTAAAAAAATATTCCTTCACTCTTTAATATATGCTTTTCTCCTTTTCAATAAGAAAGTGTCCTTATTTATAAAACTGAAATTGTGATGCTTGGCTGTCCTACCACGCAAGGTGTTGGCAGGATCAGATGTGATAACAGATAGGAAAGGGCGATGTAAGCATCCGAGGAATGCTGGGCTGACTCCCTCTCCTAGTCTGAGCTCCAGCTAACACGCAAGCCCACATTTATTGACGATGATCCAAAGACCTCCCCTTCTCCATTGAAGAACGCTGTTCTTTCAAACGGTATGAAAGTTTCCTGTTCTCTTTAGTTGTCACAGACAATAATTTCAGAGCAGATGCATGTTCGTTTTTTTGGCAGATATTAGCTGGGAGCCTGACGGAATCAACTGCTATGGCAGATACAAGGAAACTGAAAACATGACCCAGGCCTCTCCCTGAGGGACTGAAAGCCTCATTCAAAAGACAAAATGAACGTCATAACTGATGTGTTCTGAAGAGCATGGAATTTCAACCAAGAAAACCGGGGTTTTTAAAAGCAGCCCCTCCAATTCTAAATGGGCATCTTGGGCGAGTCATTTAACTGTGTCCGTCTCAGTTTCCTTGCATGAAATGAAAAAGTAAGACCTCCCTCATGGGCTCATATATGTTATGCGATTATTATTTTTTTTTATGGGAATACTTCACTCACCGGTTATAAAGTGTTGGGACTGTGGATATCATAACTTTGTAAAACACTAAATGACGATGCCAGGCAACATGGACAAGAGGTGCTGGGTGAGTTTGGAGTGATAGATGCGTCTGAGAGTAGAGGAGTGGGAGGGGGCAGCTTCCCAGGGGAGGGGGCTGAAGGTGGATGGGACAGTGGGACAATCTATCCATTCATGAAGCTGGAGACAGCCTCTGTGAGACAGAGGGAGCATCCCAGCCAAGGGCTGGAGGCTAGAGGGAATAAGGGCAGCGGAAGGCAGTCCAACCTGATGGAGGCTGATTAGCCACAGAGAAGTGTTTGGAGAGGAGGTTGGGAAGAACCGAGGAAAGGACAAAGGAGGGCTGCCGATGAAGTTATTCCACAGGCAATGGGAAGTGTCTGGAGGTGTTCTGAGCAGGGAAGTCACATAATTAAAGGATCATTTTAGGAAGGATAACCTATGACAATATAAAGGATGGATGAGAGAGAAAGAGAGAGAGAGAGAGAGAGAGAGAGAGAGAGAGAGAGAGAGAGAGAGAGGGAGAGAGAGGGAGAGAGAGAGTAGTCCTGGAAGGATCTGGAAGGATGAAGACCGGCTGGAAGAACAAAGAAACAATCCAGCTGGCAGCAATGAGACCCGAACCAGGCGTGGGCTGTGAGACGGGACAGGAGAGTTTGGAGGTGAGAGACAGCATGGTGGGAGAATGCCCTGGACTGGTGACTGATTGACAGTGTAGGTGGCAAAAGAAGGAAGCTGAAAATGTTTCAGAGCCTAGAAATGGAAGAATAAAGGAATTCAGGAGGGGAACCTAACTCAAAGGAAAAATGACTGTTTTTAGAATATGCAAGTGGAAATATCTAGAAGATAGAAGATAGAAGACAGAAGGATTCCTGGTATAGGATAATTTACATAAAGGTTAAGCGGGAAAACACGCTAAGCTCACCAGGGAAGGAGATAAAACAGTCAGGGAGTAAGCCCCGAGCTATTCCACATTTAAAGGACAGGCGGTAGAAAGGAAACGAAACAAAACTGAAAACAGAAAACAAGTCATCGCTCCTGATAGTCAACAATGCCCGGTATTTTTAACAAGCATTAAAACTGCACTTTGAAAAAGGAACACTCGTCACTCTCCATCCTACCTGTAATCCAAAGGTCTTACACTAAAGAATTCTAAACATAGGAACAGAGCGGGGGAAATGGTCAGATCCCAACCCCCTGGAAACTCAGCCCCTGAAGCCCAAGTAGGGTGTCCCAGGTGGGGGCACTAGAACTACTGGAACGGCTAACTCCTAGATTTTAAGAGGTCCATGCCCATTTCTGTGACAGACACTCTCAACTGCATTTCCCACGTCCATTCCCTCCTTTTTCCTTGCTATTGAACCTTCCTTATCTGGGCAACGAAGCACTCAGCCCCAAGTGAGATACTCGCTTTTGCAGCCTCTCTTGTAAGTAGGGGCCTGGCCAAACAGGTGAGAGCAGGGGGCTGCTAGGAGCCATGGGAAGGCTTTCACCCTCCCCCATGGAAGGTTCTCTGTGCCTGCAGCTAAACACACTCCTCATTCGTACAGTGTCTTTTACCTTTTCAGATCCACAGTGGTGACATTGAACACGACCCCTTTCAGCCAGAGGATCATAAAGAGACGCTGAGAGAAGGGACAGTTGCCAATGCTTTCCCCATCGATTCCAGCCTAGAAAGAAGAGAACCAGAGTCCTGAGTTGGCATGTGCATATTTGCAGAAAGGAATATAGGATAATAATACCCAAACAATGGTCTGAAGAAATCGGCTAAAACCATGCCCCAGCCTACCTTCGAACAGCAGTTGCCCTATATTACTCATCCTTGTCTTACTAATGTCTGTGCAGGGCAACGCCTGGCACAGGGTAAGGACTCCATAAATATATGCTCAACTGAAATTGAGTTTCCAGCATGGCAATTATGTAGTCATAACTTTCTAGAACCATAGAACCCTAGCATCTCAGGGTAAAAAGGGACCTTCAATATCACTTAGTCTAACACCAGTGATATTGGACCAACTGCTATCTCCCCACGTAATCACCTAGTCTGTGCTCAAATATCTCCACTAACCAGTAATTTATATATCTCAAAGCAGTCCATTCTGAGGACAGTTCTAACAATCAGAAGTGCTTTTCTTTGGTTATACCTAACCAAAATAGGCTCCTCTGTCGTTGACCCTCTTCCATCCTTTGGTCCTTGCTCTGTAAGGATGCCATGAGCACAAATACCACAGACTTTGACCCTATGTCCCTGTATCTCATAGTCAGCAGTCTCAAGGCTAATCAATACCCCTTTTAGTTCTGACTAGTACTTGACATTCAGTGTCGATAAACCATTCATTCTAAATTATTCTTTTATGAAACAAATACACATTGACTATCAATTATGTGGAAGGCACTGGAGAAAATTGCACAGGGGATTAAAAACCGCATTTACTCAAGGAGTTTCGAGCCATCTGTGGTGTGGGCAAGAGACAGACAGGAACACGTAAATAACAATAACAGATAATATTGCCGAGGGCTTGCTTACGTCTGCTGATTACATCTCCCCTTCTCGGTACCCTCCTCAGAACGGTGTGTTTTATGTTTTTGTTATCTTAACATCCGAAAGGCAAGTCTGCCTTTACTTCTGAGTGGGTTGCAGAGACATACATTTTATAAGAATTCATTTTCAGCAAACACACCCACACACAGAAAGGTTGGGGAAGTGATCTCTGTATAATTTGTTTCTACTTGAATGGTTTATTGTCCCTGGACATTGTACTTACAAGGAGAAATCACCCACTCGCTCTACTTTGCTGTTGGCTCCCCTAGAAACCGTGGCCCCATCTGGTGGCCTGGGTGCCCAGCTCTACTGACAGGGAGGCCTTGGGAGAGGAGGCCCCCTTGCTTACTTGCAAAGCTGCAACCAATCCAACCAACACACTGTAATGGGGGCTTACTGAGATTTTTTTTTTTTTTAATAAAGAAAGGGAGGGGGGGAAATGCATTCCCAAAGCTCAACACATTATTTCCCCCTTGAGGTTTGTTTTGCTGTGGCCATTAAATGGAGAGGGAGGGATGCCTTCTTTCATACACGAGAGGCTAATTGTGTGCTTATTTGTGTCTTGCAAATCACTCCCAGTAGAGGCTCAGGTTTATAATGGAAACCTGGCGCCTTTGACGGTGTTGGTTGTAGGTAATTGCTATGAAATTACAGTTATTTTACCTCTCTCTTAACTACACCAAGAGCCTCATCCCTATTCAGTTCTCACTTTTCCTCAGTCCTGGAAACAGACCCCCCCTGAGTAGCCGAGACGCCGTGGGCTCCTTTATATAAAATCTGAAAGGTGGAAGGGCACAATGTGGGTGCCGCACCTGGCCACAGAGCTAAAGTTACCGGTAAAGCCACACTCAGACAGGCAACGATTAATTTAATAATAGCTTGGAGCTAACTTGAGTTTATGATGTCAGTTCCCTAAGACCTACCCAAGAAATACTCACTCAACAGGTCCCTGGCTCTTGGTCCTTTAAGACATCATGACAAAAGAACTTTTTCCCCCAGGGCCGATTATAATGGAAGTGACAAGCAGAGAATTAAAGAATAAAAGCCATATTTACATACTAGCAACTGTTTTACCTCTGGCGGTAGTGGTGGTAGTGGGGTGGTAAGGGAATTGAAGGAGGAACTAGTAAAATATTGGAATTCTTATTAGCTGGACAAAAAAATTCGTATAATCATAGTGTTAATAACAATAGCTGTTGTCTATATTGCCAGGCATTATTCTAAGAGCTTTAGATATATTATTAATTCATTTATTCCCATGAGAAATGGGATATTATCACCCTTTCACAAAAGTGCAAACTGAGGGGAAATAACTGGACTCAGCATCCCAGAATTGAACCCAGGTGATCTGACTTCAAATCCAGAGCTGTTACCTGCCATGCCCAGAGTCTAGCCTGAGGACGCAGACAGGTAAAACGTGCATTCAAGGTCACAGAGCTGGGAGGTGATGGTGCTATAAGTGTATGCATACGTCCTACCCTTGAGTCCATGTGCGTACAGCCATGACAAGGGTATTGAGGATTGTGGCTGTCATGGCTCCCCACACTTCCGTTATTGTCGCAAATTATGATT